TAATTATAGACTACTAAAAAAGAAAACAAAAGACAAAATAACCAGCTAGGTGGATAGTTCCAACAATAACAAACATCATCAAAAAGACTTCTTTCTAATGGGTTGGGAGGTAGAAGTTGCATCATAGACCCCATAAAAACTTGACTTTTATGGGAATAGGGAATAGACTGAGACAAGGCCTAAGCCCATGTCAAATTGTGCTAAATATATCCAGCAGCCACCAGTCCACCACCATGTACAATCCAAGCTTGTCTTCTTATAACTATTATTTTTGGCTTCATTCGTTTCCTTTCTCTAGTCTTGGTTCAAGAAAGGATGAATTCTTCTTGGTCTTCTGTTTTCGAGGAGTTATTTCTTCTTGGGAATATCATACTTAACTTCATATTACCGTCTAACACAAGGGCTGTTAGATTTACAAATGAAACAGATCGACTGGCTTTGCTGGACTTCAAGGAGTGGGTCACTAAAGACACCCTTGTAGCTCTGAGTTCGTGGAACTATTCAACCCACTTCTATCAATGGAGAGGAGTTACTTATAGCTGACGACATCAAAGGGTCATAGCCTTGAATTTAGAGTCACAGAGCTTGGCCGACATCAAGGGTGTTTCTTTTGGCTTCAGATCTTTTTGACTCAGTTGTAGCTTGTTGAATGCTTCCAAGAATAAAATGTCTATCAAACTTCTGGAGTCTACTAGTATTCGCTTCACCTCGAAGTCATTAATTAAGAGCTTGACAACAAGGGTGTCGTTGTGCGGATACTGGATTCATCACGCATCATCCTCAGTGAAGTAAATGGGCTCCTCCACCCAAGGTCGATTTGGTGGGTTTTCTGCTTTGTGTTCTAACTCTCGAACTGAAGTCTTTCCTGCTGATGTGCTACACCCCACCACAATGAACCCGCCGATGATCATATTGATTACCCCGTGGATTGGCCTGTCTTCTAAAGGTGGCAGTTGTCGGGGTGGGTTTTGGTCGTTTCTCTTGCTTGGTTCTAGAGCTTCCCTTTTCTGATCGGCCTTCCTATCCGCTGTTTCCCTATCCTCATGCTTCGCAAACTTTTTCAAGTACCCATGATGAACCAATTCCTCAATCTCATCTTTGAAATTCTGGCAACCTTCTATGCTATGCTTGATGTCTCGGTGAAAGTGGCAGTAAACATTCGAGTTCTTGGTTGTCGAGTCTCCTCACATCCTAAGTGGCCACTTGAGGTAGCTAGAATCTTTGATTGCCATCAGAATTTCACCCCATTTTGCATTGAGAGGAGTGTAGCTGGTCCTCTCAACTTGAGGGGTTCTAGATCACCGACCTGACCTAGAACCCCAAGGTGGGGATTTGCTTCTCTTATGTGAGGACTTACTTCTCTTGGGCGACTTACTTTTTCGTTGTCGGTGCTTACTACTGCTGGTTCCTTCGTCGTCTCTTTTTCTTTTTTCGCCTTGCTGGGACTTTGCCTTGGGCTCTAGGGCTTCTTCTGTTTGCATGAACTTCTTTTTTTGGAGGGTTCGCCTCAAGGTGCAAGGAAAATTTGGCATGTCGAACTCCTTTAATTGCTGCTGTGAGTCGCACAGCTAGGTCGAGGTTTGGTATTTGTACGCACTCTTCATTGAATCGGCTGACGTAGCCCCTGATCAACTCCTGGTCCCTCTGGATCATGTTCGAAAGGCCCACTATGGACTTCGAGCACTTCTTACAAGTGATGAAGTGGGCCATAAACATACTGTGAACTACTACCAGCTCTTGATCAATCTTGGCGTGAGGTTCCTACACCATAACCTAGTTGTTCCTTTGAACGTGGTTGAGAAAGCTACGCACAAGCTCGCCTCATCTGTGTTGGCGATCAACATCAAGGACTGGAAGGCGTCAACGTGATCATTAGGATCAGACTTCCCGCTATAGGTCTCCAGTGCAGGCATTTTGAACCCTTGTGGCCTCGGAGTTGTGAGAATCTCCGGTGATAAGGGGAGGGCTAGCTCAATAGTAGTGGAGTTGGTTGTGCGGCTGCCGAGCTCACTTCCTCCCTCAACCTACCCGGTTTCAATAGCAGGCTACTCCTTGGGGGGCTGTTCTTGACTAACATATGATGAGCTTTACGATGACGTCACTTCTTTGTGGCTTCAACGTTGGTGTTATTTACCTCGATGTTGTTGGGCACCTCGACTCTGGTGCGCTCTCGTTCTCGAACACTATCACGGAGTGGGAACTGGTTCCTATTGCTTGCGTATCCTCGGTCACGAACTGTATGCTGGCCACTATGAGGGACAAAGGGGTCTTGGCGTGAGTCCATTCCTCTTGCCCCGAGCTAGTGGTTACTAACCTAGAGATCGTAGTTCTCACGGCACTTGTGCTATTGCGGGTCAGTCCTAGTGCGATGGTTGTCCTTGGGCCGATCTTTCTGGTTCGCCACCTATCATGGTGGGGGTATGCACTGACCTTCAACTCTGTCCCGAGGTGGGGTCCAAACCCGGGGAGGGGTTGGGACCCAAGATGTCTTTGTGCCCCGTGGAGGAGATCGCCGTGCATTCTACTAATGCTGGTTTTGAATCGACAGTGGTGGAAACTACTATTGATATTGTTGGTAGAGGTAATACTACTGGAATTGCTGGAACTGATGCATCTAGTGCATCTGGAGTTGCATGACTCGGACACTCTATACCAGTTCGTCAAACGGCTGGTGCCCGACCCCAGGGTGGATAACAGAAGGCTCCAGGACAGAAAAAGTGGTGCTCACTTGGGGTAATGGGGCGTGCAACGGCTGGGTAGTGGAAGTCTGAGTTTGGCTTGTCTGAACCCCCAGAATGGTAAGGGGGATTGTAATCTGGCCGATAGTTATCGAGGAGTCCTCAAAGTAAACAATAGTATGATCCTACCCCCCAGTAAAGCTCATATCGTTGCCTTTTCCGGTGTTGCTTGATGATGCCATTGAGTATCAAGAAAAGTAAAAAGAGAGTTAGGGCTTAGCTTTTGTGTATCGTTATCACAGACGGTGCCAATTGATAGTGCGCAATCTAGTTGCTCCTAGCTGGAAGGCAGCTCGAACGCCTGTTGCTTAGCTGGTTGGTTGAGTTGCATGATAGATGGATCAGAGAACTTGGGGTGGCTAGCCCAGCGAGGTCACTCCGATGCTTAAGTCAGTACTGTATGTGAATAGTGAGATGAAAGCTTGAGAACTGGAGAGCTAGAATGCACAAAATCGCACGTACTTAGGTCCAAGGGGTCGATGCCCCTTTTATAGCTGGGATGGTGTGGGTCTTGCTAAATGCTCCAGGGATCTTCGGGCTGAGCCATAGGGGTCCGTTTCGCTTTGGGAGGCAAAAATTTCACTAATTGATAAGAATTACTATTTCCCTCCGATTCGGACGGGATGAAATTAAAGCCTATGGTAACGCGGTGTGATCCCGAAAGGTTTGGAGACAATTGGCGAGCTTTTAGAGGTCCGCTATGTGTCACTTCGGCAGGCATGGTCACCCCAAGATACCCGGGCTTCGGCTATCCGAGGTGATCACGATGTTCGAGGTGACTGAGGATGCTGAGCTGACTTGCCAAGGTGGCTGAGGATGTTAACTCATGCGTCCAATCACCAGATTGCATCCACGTGTCCACTGCTTACGAGGTCAAGCCAAATTACCCCTCATCATTTATATTTATAAAATTTATTAATTATAATATATAATTATGTAGTATCCATATATATATTCATATAAAACTTATATGAAACTTATATCTTAATCATCAAAGATAGATTAAATCCACATCTAATTCGATTTTGTAAACAAATCGAATTTTCAACTTTGTCAAGAGTCCCATTCAAGCTGAATTTCTAGTTCTCTATGATGGGTTAAAACGGTGCTTTGAGAAATGGAATTTCTGAGTGGAGATTGAAAGTGAAAATAAAGTATTAGTGGAGATCATGATGGGCAAGGTTGATCCGCCTTGGTCCACTATATACATTTATAATTTGAGGAAAATTAAATTTATAATCTCCAACGTCCAAGTTAAATTTATCCATTCCCTTAGGAATGGTAAAAGATGTGCAGATTAACCTAGGGATTCCTCATTTCCCCGGGGATCCGCCCCAATTGGGCTGGGGATGGGAACCATTTTCTCCACGCGAGGATGGGGTGGGGACAGGGAGAGCACTCTCTGCCCAATGGGATCCCAATTAATATATGTATATATGTATATATATTTATATATGTATATATTTATATATGTGTTTATATATTAATATTTTTAAAAATAATATGATTAAATATGCTTGAATCTTTTCAAATATGATTGAAAATTTTAATTATTTTTTTAAATAAAATAAAAAATAAAAATAAAATAATTGATATTATAAAAAATCACAGAGAGTGAAGATCCCCACAGGGATGGAATTGAAATCCCCGTAGGGACAGGGATGGAGATAACCTAGTCCCCGTTAATGCAATCGGGGATGGGGATTTTCGCGGAGATGGGAATGGAGAGAGGCTCCCCATCCCTGCTCCGCCCCGCCCCGTTTCCATTCCTAGATTAACCTCGTCTATTGATGAAAGCAGATTTGGTATATTTAAAGTCGCTTCCCGGCTTCCTTCTGGTATTGTTTTCAATGTTATTAATAATGGAGTAAATTTTGAAGTTAAAAAAAAAAAAATCTCATGACCATTGTAACATCCCTCAATAATTGAATTCAAATTCAATGTTACTAACGTGCTTCAAACACAACTTTTCCTAATTCTACAACTTCTACCTCTAATCCCACATTTTCCATAGATGAAAAAACAATTAATTATAAACTACTAAAAAAGAGAACAACAGACAAGTTTCAATAACCAGCTAGGTGGATAGTTCCAACAATAACAAACATCATCAAAAAGACTTCTTACTAATGGAATAGGGAATAAACTGAGACAGGGCCTAAGCCCACCAGTCCACCACCACGTACAATCCAAGCTTGTCTTCTTAAAACTATTGTTTCTGGCTTCATTCTTTTCCTTTCTCCAGTCTTGGTTTAAGAAAGGATGGCTTGGTCTTCTGTTCTAAAGGAATTACTTCTTCTTGGGAATATCATGCTTAGCTTCATATTACCATCTAGCACAACGGCTGTTAGATTTACAAATGAAACAGATCGACTGGCTTTGCTGGAATTCAAGGAGAGGATCGCTGAAGACCCACTCGGAGCTCTGAGTTCATGGAACTATTCAACCCACTTCTGTCAATGGAGAGGAATTACCTGTAGCCGACGGCATCAGAGGGTCATAGCCTTGAATTTAGAGTCGCAGAGCTTGGCCGGGATTGTTTCCCCTCACATCGGAAACCTCAGCTTCCTTAGGATTATCACCCTCCAGAACAATAGCTTCCATGGGAAAATTCCACCGGAGATCGGTCGTTTGTTCCACCTGCGAAGTCTCACACTCAGCAACAACTCCTTTGAGGGTGAGATTACAACCAACCTGACTTACTGTAAAAGCCTCAGGCTCCTCAATTTGGTCGACAATAAGCTTGTTGGTAAAATCCCAAACGAACTCAGCACTCTATCAATGCTTTTGGGACTAGGCCTTTCTTCTAACAATCTTACAGGAAACATCCCACCCTCTCTAGGGAACCTTTCGTCTTTAGCAGAAATTTCTATAGGTTATAACAATTTGGAGGGAAGCATCCCTGACGATCTTGGACGAATCACGGGCTTAGAATTTATTGTAGTTTCTAGTAATAACCTTGTAGGTACAATTCCTCCTAGCCTCTACAATCTATCCAACATTTCTACATTTTCAGTCTATGATAATCGATTACATGGAGAAATTCCTGGAGATATAGGCCTCATTCTTGCTAATCTCCAATGGTTATCTGTTGGAAATAACTTGTTTACAGGAACCATTCCAGTCTCACTAACCAATGCTTCGAGACTTGAGTATATAGACTTTAGTAGTAATGAATTCACAGGACCAGTCCCAGACAATCTAGGAATGTTGCCAAATCTTTACAGAATCCAATTGAGTGAAAATAAGCTCGGAACAACAGATGGAAATGACATGAATTTCATATCTTCCTTAACAAACAGTACAAGATTAAAATTGATAGTCACAGATGTCAATCATCTTAGAGGTTCACTGCCCAACTCCATGGCTAATCTATCCACCCAGCTCACTACCCTGTATTTGGCAGATAATCTTATATATGGAAGCATCCCTTCAGGTATTGGAAACCTCTTCAATATGGAGGACTTGAACATGGAGTTCAATGATTTCACAGGCAAAATTCCAAAGGAAATTGGGAAGCTTCATAGGTTGCAGAGATTGTACTTGAATGATAATAGGATCTCAGGACAAATTCCATCTTCAATTGGTAATTTGACCCTGTTGAGCGTTCTCGAAATTAGAGACAACAGCTTAGATGGTCCCATTCCTCACACTCTTGGAAATTGTCAACAGTTGTCAAGCGTGGGCCTTTCTCATAACAACCTTAATGGCTCAATACCCAAAGAAATCCTCTATCTTTCCACCATTTCAGATTATCTCTACCTTAGTCACAATGCTTTGACTGGCCCTCTGCCATCAGAAGTAGGCAACTTGAAGAACCTTGTCAAGTTAGACATTTCTAAGAACAAATTATCAGGAAACATTCCTGACACGCTTGGGAATTGTTTGCTTTTAGAGAATCTTTACATTCAAGACAACCTCTTTGAAGGCATGATTCCACAGTCTCTGAGCTTAATGAGAGGTCTACAAGACTTGGATTTTTCGCATAATAAGTTGTCAGGAGAAATACCAGAATTCCTTGGAACACTTCCTTTCCTCACCTATTTGAACCTGTCATTCAATGAACTCCAAGGTGAAGTTCCAAAACATGGGATCTTCAGGAATGCAAGTGCGGTTTCAGTTGCTGGAAATCAGAAACTCTGTGGAGGTATAGCTGAATTAAGGCTACCCACATGCATCATCACAGCCTCCTCCAAGAGAAAGAGCCACTCTCTGCTTCTCAAAGTAATAACCCCAGTAGTTTTTATGGTACTTGTCTTAATTCTATTGTTATCTTTCATTTTTAGGCGTTATTTGAGAAGGCCTCGCAGAAATGAACAGTCTCCTGCACCACCATTTCCTCAGCATTTAACAGTTTCTTATGCAGAGCTCTTTAAAGCAACAAATGGTTTTTCTGAGGCCAATTTGATTGGTGTTGGAAGTTATGGCTCTGTATATAAGGGAATACTAGACGAAAATGATGAAACCTTGATTGCAGTGAAGGTTCTCAATCTTGATCAAAGAGGAGCTGGAAAGAGTTTCATCTCTGAATGTGAGGCCTTGAAAAATATTCGGCACCGGAACCTTGTCAAGATCTTAAGTACCTGTTCCAGTATTGACTTCCATGGTAATGAGTTCAAAGCTCTGATATTTGAGTTCATGCCTAATGGAAGTCTTGAGAAATGGTTGCATCCAGAAGCAGATGGGCAGCAAGTATTGAAAAAACTTAGCTTTATGGAGAGACTGAACATAGCCATTGATATAGCTTCTGCACTGGAATATCTACACCACCATTCCCATGCAACAATAGTTCATAGTGATCTCAAACCAGGCAATGTTCTGCTGGATGAAAAACTGACAGCCCATCTGAGTGATTTTGGACTAGCATATGTTCTTTCTGAGTTCTCTAGCAGTTCGGCATCAAATGGAACAAACTCTGTTGCAATGAAGGGATCTATTGGGTATATTGCTCCAGGTATATCACTATCCTCTCTTTTCCTACATTAATTTTTGTTTAGGTATTCAAATTGTCTACATTGAAAAGTCTCAAGTAGTCTAATTAATTAGCAAAACGCCTCTGTACTGACAAATACAAACTGATGAGAAGCTGGCAACACAGTTTTGTATTTAGACGATCAGTATTTACACGTGTAAAGGACAGCTGGCAAGTTTTCTATTGAGCCAACAATGGCTCCTGCTAATTAACATACATCCAGCATGATATGGAATCAAGGAAATCATGGCCTGGTTGGGCTGGGCATCTAGCTAGCCAGTATAAAAATTTTAATTTCTATCAAAATTAAAGAAAAATATATTTAACATTTTAATTTAATTTCATAAATCCTTTTGGACTCTGTTGACCCTCTCTAATCAGGGGTCTAAATTAGGTGGGTTGGCTTAGTTTAAGAGCCAACCCTCAGCTTGGACCCAAGCTGATGCCAACACCCAAATTTGTTAATCTAACCATATTTCTATTCTAGCCCCGTGTATTGCATACATTTACTTGATGGTATTGCTATAGCCCATTACCCAATGTTGATTAGTCCCAACAATCTTTTATAAGTGGCCACTCTCACACTCAAACTTGTATTCTCATGCTTTGATAGCCTAATGTTAATCCTTATTATTTAAATAGTTTAGTAAATCTTAAAAAGTAAAGTAGTAATAGAGATCAGATATAATGTCACCAAGTATATGTTTGGCATCGATGTTGCAGATACAACATCGTTTTCTTAGAAAACTGCTGCTGATGTGTGGGTTGGAAACACCGTTATCTGAGAAAACTTTGGTTTGGAAATGTTTCTGCTAGGTAGGATGTTTCCTGGACCAACAATAACTTTTTCTATTTGGTACCAATGCTGCAAGAAACGTTTTTAGCACTGGTACCCATTATCCAGTGCCACATCACTACCACCTTACATCCCTATTAGCAGTAATGAACTGCAACTCTAGGAAATGCCAAATTCGGTGTTGCTCCAAGCCATGCCTTCCCAATTTCCAAGGCGTGGCTTGGAGCACCGTTTTTCTACTCGATCCTAGGTGGTGCAAGAATCGAGGTCGCAGTCAAATAATCCTTGCCAACTCGGTGGAGCCGAGGTGGAATGATGAAGTCACGCAATGAGATCTGCAACCAAGAAAAAGTCAGAGGCCCGAGGAGTTATCCCCGGGTAGGTACTCCGATACTCAAGTCAGTAGAAGGTAGTGGGCGGTCGGGTCGAGCAGTTAGAGAATAGTGCTGGTCCGAGCAGTAGTAGATGTGTGGAATGAGAATTGGAACCTTTACCTTGAGAGGGAGGTACCTTTTTATAGCCAAAGATCTGTGTCCTGATCGGATGAGGCTTCCAGGGTTGTCAGGATGAGGTTAGCCACCGAGATCTTCGGGATAAGACCTAATCCCTAGCGGAGTTGTCCCTATCCTATCTCCTATCTTGGTCGTGCTTATCCGCATAATGTGGGATCGTTGTGGCCAGGAAGGTAGAGTGGGGCCGCAGAGGTGACGTGGTATTGATGTGGCCAAAGAGATTGGGCTGACGTGGCCGAGGAGATAGGGCAGCCACGTAGGCACCATGTGGCATCTGGAGCCAGCTCGACCATAACCCAAACACTACTCCCCCAATTCCAAAGTCGAGGAGTAAAGTGCTCGACCGATGTGTAGCGCGGAAGAGAGCTTTGGTCCTCGGCTGAGGAACTCAAAGTTAAAGTATGGTTGAGCTTCTTGGTCTGGCCCACGTGGAACTTGTTGTAATTCAGGATCCAAACACCACCATCTGATGCTTGTCTATGGCACGTTGCGTAAGGGCTCTTTGGTCTTCAGCTAAGGAACATGAAGTCGAAATTTGGGATCCGGACACCACTCCCCTAGTTCCAAAGTCGAAGAGAGAAGTGCTCGGCCGTGACGGGGCACGATCACTGGGGTCGAAGGACTCGGGTTGGGCTGGTTTTCCAAGCTGAACCAGTCAGGTCGGTGATCGTGTCGTCCCCAAAACGGGTTGTCAGGAGTGTCGCTTTGGTTCCCAAGGTTATGCGCATGCGAAGGGCAGAGGTGTCGATTGGGTTTCCTGGGCTTGTCAGAGCGGCGTTTGATCTCCGCTATCAATCTTACCTTGATCTAGACCATTTGGCGAGGAGTAGTCTGCGGTGCTCGGTGTTTGCTTCAGTTCTGTGGTCCTAGCTTCCAAGACTTAGGTAAGATGTCTTCCACATCCTCCCGCTCTTCTTCTTCCTCTTCTTCTGATTTTTCTTCTAGTTTTAGTGCCTCCCCTTATGAGTCCGAGCCGGGGTCTTTCACCAAGGCTACCATGTTCGATGTTCCTGAGGCTATGGAGGTAGATTTTGGGAGATTCGCCAAGGCTAAGGAGGCTGAGACTGGAATGTCGAGCATAGAGGTGGAGCTCCCTACATGGGCTGGCCGTCGATTTTGACCACCCCTTGCTATTTGACTCCCGGGGATATTGCTCGGTTCCGAGCTTTGTACTACATCTCCGAGGAGTACGAGCTAAGGTGTCCGCAGGCTGGTGAGAGGCCCACAGATGCTCAGTCAAGCGAGCTCTGTGTGTACGAGAAGAGTCCGGAGGCCAGGTTGAGGTTCCCTTTGCAAGAGGGAGTAGACGGTGTGTTCGAGTGGTATCAAGTGCTGTCGATACAGCTGATGCCGAACTATTTTAGGTTTCTGATCAGTCTTATATCATATTGTTGTGTTCATGATCTTGAGCTTACCCTGGGGATGGTGAGCTATTTCCTTCAACTGAAGCACCACCAGCAGGGCTACTACTATTTTTCGGCTAGGTCGCGCATCAAGGTACTGGTCAGGGCCCCATCCTCAGTGAAGCATTGGAAGGAGGGATTCTTATTTGTGCGCTATCCTAGGGGCTCACCCCTTCCAACCGTGCTCCAAGAGTCGGGGACTAAGGTGCCATAGCCCAAGTGGCACCGGCTTATCGAGGAGAGGGCAGCCGTAAGTGTGATTGAAGAGATCAACGTAGTGCCTTACATGTCCTTCTCGGTGTTGATCCATGCCTGGCTAATGAACGGGGATGCCGGTCTGTTTCATCTCCTCAATTTACTTGTTGATCTTCTTTTCCGAGCTTGCAACTTGTCCTGACTACGTGCTTTACTTTGGTGTAGGTGTTGAGATGGCGAATAAGGAAGAAGTTCTATGCAGGGTGATTGTTGGGCGTGAGAGGCACAATCAAGGTGCTCAAAGGGCGTAGACCCAAATTGGGTGGTGCCGCTGAGGTTTACCGAGAGGGTTCCTCGGCAGAACTAGAAACTCAAGTAGTGGTCTGAGGAAGATGTTGTGGTGATCGACCTGAAGGAGAGTACCCGAACTATTCCCCCTTCCCCGCGGGTGAACGCTTCGGAGGGTAGCATCCCTCCTTTACATATGCCGCAGTGAACTGTTCATGTGGAGGATGGTCTTGAGACGGAGGGCGTGCACGAATAGCTCCTCCGCGGTATCTTGACCCCGGTCATGAAGCGGGAGGCCACGGAGTCTAGGAGTGGTGCCCTGGAGAGCTCTCTCATCCACCATGTTGTGTCGGTAAGTTCGTGTCTGCCCTTGGTCTCCTCGTTCAATTTGAAGTTGGTTGTGTTGACAACCCCACTCTTTTTTTTTCAAAATGGTTGTTCAACGATTGCGGTGGTTGACCGTCTTCGGTCACTTCGGCATGCCTATGAGGCAAGCCATGCTGAGGTCTCACAACTGAGCTAGAGGCAGCAAGTGAACGGATGGTTGCACTAGAGGTTGAGGTGGCCAATTTGAGACGTGGTATTGAGGAGCGGATAGATACCAACCACAATCTGAAGAAGCGTATCACCGAGTTAAAGGCCGAGCAGGAGCAGCTAAAGAAGGAGGCTGTTGACAGGGAGGCTCAAGTGTACCATCATGAAATAGATGACTTCACCATGAGCTCCTTCGAAATGGGGTTCAACCACTTCTGGAGGAGGGTGTTGCACCATTACCCCAATATTGCTGAGGTTACGTAGACTTGGGGCCCTTATGACACTGCTACTCTTCCGGCCGAGGATGATGTTGCCGTAGATGTGCCCGAAGAAAATGTAGGAGTTGAGGAGAACAAGGAGGTCACAGACCCCCCTACCAAGGATTGAACTGTTTGCCTGCTGTCTACTTAGGTTTTTGTTCTACTTGTAGTTGTCTATTTTTCTCTTTTTTTTGTTAATGTGAACATTGTATGCCGAGCTTAAAACATTGTACAAACTTTAAATTGGTGGAAGTAGATGCTTTTGGTTCCGAAGTTGTGTACTTGTGCCGCTCACTTTCACCTTTTTTTTTTTGCAAAGTTGTAGGCCTCGATCCTATCATGACCAAGGTTTAGGCCTCGGTCTTATCATGACCAAGGTTGGTTGTGGCCAAGAACTTGGTTTCCAGCTTTTGTGGCCTCGATCTTATGTTGACAGAGGTCTTTGCTCCTTATTGACCGAGTTCTTTGTTGGTCGAGGTCTCTACCTTCGTGGCCTTGATTTCTGTTGACTGGGGTCTTTCGTAGCCAAGATCTTGGGTCTCCAGTTTTTGACCGAAGTGTTATTCGAGCTCTCATCTCTTAAGGATGCTTAGTTGTTGGTATCGAGAGCTTTTGGCTCTTCGTAGGCTAGTCGTTCCTCAACTAGCTCTGATGTTATGCTTTGTTAGTGGTACGGAGTTCGATGACCGCCCTTTGGCCTTTAAAAGGCGGGAGAGATCTTCTCCGTTTTAGGCTCTGGATGTTAGTCAGCCGAGTCAATTGGTTGGCTATGTGCTACCGGGCTAGCTGATAGCTATGCGTTATGGGCTTGGGCCATTATAGATCAGTCGAGTCAGTGCGCAATATGCTGTGTAGTGTGTGTGGAATGTGCTCGATAGTGTTTGTGGTGTATGCCGTGCAGTGTGTGCGGTGTGTGTCGTGCAATGTGTGCGGTGTGTCGTGCATTAGACAATCCACTTTGTAGGGTAAACAACATCTTTATTAAGGTAGAACT